AGAGGAGAGGCTGTGGTCCTTTCCCTCTGGAGAGGATGGGGCAATGTCAGTGTGCCTTGGTGACCAGTGGGCCCTTGGAGAAGCTCAAGGTTATGTTTTTCATTATTTCCTGAGATTTTTCCCTCTGCCCCATAACTTTAGTCAGTTTTTTTTTCCCCCACAAGCACAAAAAAGAGTTTATTAATTTGGGCCATTGAGAATAGAAAAGCAAGAACAGGCTTTAAATTAAAAGAGGAGAATCCCTACATAGACTTGGCTTACAAAGGGAGTCTCTGTGTGTTAGTACATTTTCAGTTGCTTATAATAGAAAGCCTGAAACTGAGTAATTGATAAAGAAAAGAGGTTTATTTTTTACAGTACTGGAAGCTGGAAAGCCCAAGGTTGAGGGGCTGTATCTGGCAAGGGTCTTCTTACTGGTGGAAACTCTGCAGAGTCCCAAGGCATCACAGGGCATTACCTGGCAAGGGGACTGAACATGGTAACTCAAGTCTCTCTTCCTCTTCTTATAAAGTGACCAGTCCCACTCCCATGATAACCCATTAATCCATTCACCCATGAATGGATCATGACCTCATGACCCAATAACCTCTTAAAGGCCCCAGCTCTCAGTACTACCCCATTAGGGATTAAGTCTCAACATGAGTTTCAGAGGGGACAAACATTCAAACCACAGTACTTTGAAATCACCTTTTTTCTGGAAACTTTCTAAGGTGCTGAGACTCTGGTCCCACAGAGACCAGGGCTCTTCTGCTCAGGGTTAGGCAACGGACAAGATGACCTTTTCTTATCTTTCCATGAGGGGTTGACTGGCTGGATGAATCAGAAATTCCTCAGCCCAAGGATCACCTTTATTAGAGATTGTGAAAAGATAGAAGTGACACATGCAGATTTCAGAGGCATCAGATGTGTGGGGATGTGGGCAGATCAAAGGTGGCTGAGGCCTGGAAGGAGAGGCTCTCATCTGCCTCTGACAGCAGCTTACTGTGTCACCTCAGGCCCTGGTGACCACCTCTGCTATTAGTTCTTGGGTTAAGAACTGTTCTTGCCTTTACAGATTGTTAGACTAAGCCAGGAACATTGCCCTTTGAAACCAGAGCTCTACAACAAAAGATGGATGAAACCACTTTAAGCCGGGACTTGCAAATAAACATGTTGCTGGTTAAACCAGGTCTCTTCTGCCCTGGAAGATTAGCTTTTGAGAAATTAATAGACATCATGTGGGAAAAAGTGTGGGGATAAACTCCATGCTGGGTTTAGAAAAAAAAGTTAAGCAGGTGTCTTATTGCAGGACGTTTTAGATCCATTAATATGCTTAGGGCTAGAGAATTTTTAGGGCAGTGAAGTTACTCTGTATGATACTAAGTATCATACCAAGAGTGAACCCTAATGTAAACTGTGGACTTTGGATGATAAGCTTCTTGAAAGAATAGTTTATACCTAGTAATACTAAGAGCAACCATTTATGGAGCATTTACTACGTGCGAGGCTCTCAACTAAATAATTCCCATAGTTATTTCATTCAATTTTATTCTTATGACAATCTTATGAGGTACCTACTATTATTAATTCCTTTTTACAGGTAAGGAAACTGAGGCTTATGAAGCAGAAGTACCCTACCCAGGTCACAGAGTAAATGGCAGAGTACTCTTGACTCAGGGTCCATCTGACACCCAAGGTGTTAACTTCTCCATCAATCTCTACCAGAAAAAATCCCAGCTCTTAGCAGACATAAAAGGGCTCCTCTGATATGGCTGCTGCCTGCCTCCCCAACTCTGGGTGCCACTGCACACTCCCTCTCTGCCTGCCGAGCCTCCTGCAGCCCTACACCTCACACTCTGGCAATAGCAACCTGTTTTTGCCATGCTACTGCCTCTGGCTACAAAGCCCACTTTTTCCTCTTGCCCACCTGGTAAACTTCTATCCATCCTCTGAAACCTCTACACATATTTCTTCCTCTCTAAGCCTTCCCTGACCTCCCTGAAGTTCTTCACTCTCCTCTGTGTGCCTCTGTATCTTCTCTCGTTGCTGATATCTTACCATATTGCAGTTACATTTTTTTGGTTATGTTTCCATTAAGGGCATGGACCAGGTTTCTTCATTACCATATCCCCAGCACTTATATATGCCAGGCACATGATAGATATTTCATAAATTTTCATTGAACTGACCTCTTCACTGGCATCAAGAGTATGTTCCTGAGACTGGTTATTCTACCTACCAGTTCTCCCTTGGGAAACAAAAAATGAACTGGTGTTATAGTTTATAAGATGGGCTCTTTAAGGTTTGGATCTTGTGAATTGCTTTACCAGCAGCTACATACCACTTTCAGTGAGCTAATTAAGTCAAGTTTTTTAACCAAAAGGACAGAGGACAAGCTTCTGTTTCCACTAACATTTATTAAGCATCAACTTTGTGCCAGGAATTGCACAAGACATTCTCATGGTGTCTTATTTTAGCCTGACAACAATCTGGGGGTATTATTCTGCCTATGTTATAGCTAAAGAAGTGAGGCCCCAAAGGGTTGAGAGCTTTCCTCATGATCATGAGTTAGTCTCAGAGTCTGAATCTGAATTCAGAGCTAGTGACTTGAAGTCTAGGACTCTTCCAGACCCCCAGGGGCCCTGTTAACACACAGCACCTGAGCCCCGACCTGAATGTGTGTTAGCCTCATGCTTGCTTTTGCCTCCTATTGCGTTCTGACAGCATCATCTCAGCCTGGGGACCTATGAGAAATCTCTGAGCACACGGATGCTTTGGAAACAAAGTGGTGTGTGTAAGAGAGATGGCTCCATACTTAAATACACACACACACGCGCGCACACACACACACACGCACGTTCCGTTGAGCAGGACTGAAGCCATGTTGGGACCTAAAACCACCTGGGCTGTGGGAAAACTTTAAAAAGACACAGGTTTTTGTTTTAGTTTTTTTCTCTTTTTCTTCCCATCCCTTGACTTTCTTATCTTGCTCACTGAATAGAAGGCTGTCAAAAGCTAATCAGTACCTTGCAAAACTACAGTTCTTCTATGAGACTTGGAGAATTCCAAGAAGTGATCAAGGCCAGATGTCTGGAAGCTGACCATGGGCACCAGCAAGGACAGCTAGAGCCCTGCAAAGCTGCACAGAGACTGCAAGAAACCTGACTCCCTCCACATCCCACTCCCTCAACCCCTTCTTTAAAACCCCCTCAGTAAACCTGAGTCTTTGAGATGGTTTTAGTCTGGCCATTCTCCTTCTGGTTTATTGGAGAGATGGGTTATCCTAGCATTTCTCCTCAGGTCACCAATATTCCTGAATAAAAGCTGACTTCCTATTCCACCAACATTTGACTTTTGGGTCACTTTTTTGTTTGGGGCAGGCAGCCAGATTTGTATTCAGTAGCAAGACTTTGGCAAGCCAAACCAGGAGATGAATGCCCTGGGGTAACAAACTTTGGTGAGCCAAACCAGGGTTTTGTTTGGGGCGGGCAGGCAGACTTGTGTTCAGTAACATATACATATACATACACATCCAGACTCAACTCAGTGGAAACTTCACTAAGGACTGAGAGAACATGGATTATTACTTTAAAGAGGAATCTACTTTGGGGCTTTTTCTCAGGGAACAGGGACAGCCATACTCAAGCCTTAGGCTTTTTAGACCCAGCCTTCTGCAGCTGCCTCTTGACCAGTTTTAAATCTTGCCACCAGACAAGTATTGGCTCTTTCTCCCTGCTGATAACCTGAATGTTCTCCAAGATCACACATTCATTGGACCAGTGGCCTTAGAAAAGCATGACTTAGAGGCTGCATCCACCAGGGATGGGGGGTAGAGATGAATCGTGAGCATGAGAAGTCCAGTGGAGGTGATGAGGGGATCCTCCACTTTGCATAGGGTCTCTTTCATTCAGATCTAAAGATATTTTGGGGTTCTATGGAGCAGAGCAGATCTTGGATGCCCCATATTCCCATTCGTTGACCCCTCCGTATGCAGAAGAGACGTGGCTTGAGATGAGGATTGCCTTAGACAAGAGAAGCAGCCTGGCTCTGCATGGTTTTATGATTTTATTGGTGAGACACGGGAAGCAGGGAACTGAGGCCTGAACAAAGACTAGTACTCACAAACTGAAAGCACAAATCTCTTAGAGGATAGAACCAGCCTCAAGAAGTACTCCCAGCTATATAACGTGCAGTGACCATGCAAGCTACAACCTATAGCCAGGCGCTTCACTCAGCTCATGTTACTCTAACAGGAGACAGTTCTTGCAGGTCGATCAGTAGACCTGAAACCTCATGTACCCAGGGAGCACATGGCCAAATACCTACCTAAGCCAAGTGCAGAAGAGATGTGGCTTGAGATGAGGATTGCCTTAGACAAGAGAAGCAGCCTGGCTCTGCATGATTTTATGATTTTATTGGTGAGACACGGGAAGCAGGGAAGTGAGGCCTGAACAAAGACTAGTACTCACAAACTGAAAGCACAAATCTCTTAGATGATAGAACCAGCCTCAAGAAGTACTCCCAGCTATATAATGTGCAGTGACCATGCAAGCTACAACCTATAGCCAGGCGCTTCACTCAGCTCATGTTACTCTAACAGGAGACAGTTCTTGCAGGTCTATCAGTAGACCTGAAACCTCATGTACCCAGGGAGCACATGGCCAAATACCTACCTAAGCCAAGTGTGGAAGGGACAGCAGGAGGATTGGGGTTACTCTTGAGAGAGAACTTCCTCTGCAAGGGGGCCATGTGGCAGAAAAAGGGTCAATTCTTCATCAGGAAGGGGAGGTTGTGTTAAGAGGTCTCTTTGTGTGGAGGCAGAGGATGAGCAAGATGGCTCCAGCCTTAGCATTCTGATTCTATATCAAGAAGGACTAAGGCAGAGAAGTCAAGGAGATGTCAGTGGCAAAGAAAAAGCAAGAAGGAGATGATGACAAATGAGACAGAGGGATTTTCTAGAGAAGGGAGTCCAGAGAATTCCAGGGCAAGGCAGACTGCTGGGAAACGAGCTGTTTTTCACGTTATCTCGTGGATTTCTTGGTGGGTGAGTTCAGAGCTGAGGTCTTCCCTGGGGAGTCCTTGAATTCACTTGCACTCCCCAGCCTGGTTTTGGCCTCCCCACGGGGGCTGCAGTTCCCACTGCCAGTGACACAGCCCCCAGACAGTATGCCATAGCCCCCACCAACAGAGCTGGGCCAGTAGCCACAGGTGCTGGCACTGCTGAACCCAAAGCCGGCCCCTGAGCCCGTAGTCCCGGCTGTGGAGCTGCTGATGACCGCTGTGAAAGATGGAGGGAGGAGTGATCAGTGTGTGTTCAAGGACAGGGGTGACCCTAAGTCCCCTCCAACCTCCTAGCCTCAGCTAGCTTAAATGTCTCCCTCTTAAGGAAACACTTCACATCGACTGTAAACTTGGGTTTAGTGACACGTGCTAAATTCCTAAGCAGCTCAAGCACCAGCAAAAACAGTTCAGATCCCACAGAATTCTCAAATTAGACATGTTGTTATTTTTTTGAACTAACAGATGGAGCAAAGTCTTTCCGCAAGTGTCAGATGATGCCTAAGCCTCAGATAAACCAACAAGTTCTTGCATTTAATTTTAGAAAACATTCTTAATTTTTGTCAAAGAATTTCCTGAGTACTTGAATTAGGTAAGTTTTTGCTGACCCCACCCTTAGAAGGAGACTAAGCTGAACCCTGTGGGGCCAGCATTAAAACTGATCTGCACAGTGTGTGTGCACAGGTCTGTATTTCAGTGAGGAAGTGTGACCTTCATGCTCATGGTTTCCTTCATGCAGGAAGGCCAGGGTGGGGGTAGCAGAAGGGGGGATGGGACTGAGAGTTTCCTCCCAGCATGGGTGAGACTTCTGGGGAAGGGGCCAGTGTGCAATGTCAGAATGTGATGGAGAGCTGAATCCACCAGGGCAGAAGCAGCTGAATGGGAAGCAGCCAGTCTCAGCAAGGGAAGCTGGTATATGACAATGGTGGTCTACCAGGCAGAGCCCGGGCTGTTACCGGGGGTCCCAGCAGTAGGCACCCACTCGCTCTGTGTTTGTTGATGGACTAAAACTATTCTCTTAGAGGGATGAAATACTCACAAATGCTCACGGAGTTGGTGTATTCTCCAGACATCCTGCACAGAGAGAAAAGGAAAGGCGAGTCTCTATCACTTAGAATCCCACAGTTACCCTCACCAGGGCCTGAATGCTGGCCCAGAAATCATCAGCCAGGATAGCTCAGTCTCCACGAGCCCCTCCAGCCGGCCAGAGGGCACAACTGCACATGTGTGTCTCTGAGCACCTCCCTCTCCCCCTCAATCTACTCTTCCCCTTAGAGCTGGGGACTCCCATGACCTTAGAGCCCTAACACTGTCACCACTCCTAGGATCTCTCCTGCTGGGTTTCTCTTAAACCTATTTTTTTACACTTGAGAAGCTACTGCCTGAATAAATACATCTATGGAAATATTAGGACCAAGAGTTGCTACTGATGAACTAACAGTATAATTTTAGGACTAGTAACTTCTTCTGTCTATGTCTCAGTTATAAAACAGTGCTAGATTAGAACAGTTTTTCAAACGTCAGTGCTTCATTCCAATTGTTGCCATGACCATGTACAACCTACATTGTTATATATTCAATATTTTTCATTGATTCTGCCTTTTGTAACAAAATGCTTTTCTCTTAAAAGGAAGTTTTATAACACCTGGGTAAATAGAAAACCAGTATTACCTAACCAAATAAGACCAAAAAAAAAAAAAGTATCAGTAAAAATAAGTAAAATGAAAATAAAGCAATTAAAAATTTTGGCTAGATATTGTCTGTGCAGAGACTCTGAACCCAGGATCTATGTCTACTTATTAAAAGGCATTCGTGCAGGTGTCTGAGAGGTGTTAAAGACACAACAGAACTAAGCTGAGACTTTCTCTGAAGAGTCAAAAGAGAATTGCTATCACATTATCTGACTAGATGCTGTTTAAGGCTATGTTTGTAGGTGAACTAAGAAGCATCTCCATCCCCTCCAACAGCCTGCCCCTGCACACTCTGGGAAACTCTGAGTGGGAGGATTGCAAAGGTTCTTCCAGCCCCTCCATCCCTCACCTGCACTCCTCTCCCTCCAGCAGCTTGCGGTAGGTGGCGATTTCTATGTCCAGGGCCAGCTTCAGGCTCAGGAGCTCTTGGTGGTCACGCAGCATCCGGGCCAGCTCCTCCTTGGCCTGGTGCAAGGCGCCCTCCAGCTCATCCAGCTTGGCCCGGGCGTCCTTCAGGGCATTGTCCCCCCGCTGCTCGGCGTCAGCAATGGCCGTCTCCAGACTGGAGCACTGAGGGTTAGCAAGCAGCATTTGCCCCTGAGTCCTACGCCACCCGGACCTCACTTCACCCCCCATGTGCTCACAGGGGTTGGACCCTCATCTGTCCTGCCCACTTCCTAGAACAGAGACCCAGCCACATTCACGACAGTGGAGTCCTGTCAACCAGGGACTGGGAGGCTTGTTATTCTGAGCCCTATGGCTTTATGAAAAGACCTTGCAACGGTTCTGGGCTTCAGATGGGAGCTAAGTGTGGGGACTGAGAACAGGGACTGCCTTTGAGGAAGGGGCTCTGAGATGGAAGACCAAGAGAAGGAGAAGAGATGGGGGTGTGCTAAGTAGTGCACCCCTTCCTTGGGAGTCAGGAACCCCTAACCCCCTTCACCTGCTTCTTCACACTCTCGATCTCTGAGCGCAGCCTTTGGATGAGACGGGTCAGTTCTGAGATCTCATTCTTGGTGTGTTTGAGGTCATCCCCATGCCGGCCGGCCACCAGCTGCAGCTCCTGGAACTAGGGGGAGAGAGGGGCCAAAGCAGGGATACTGATTCAGGGCCTGGCTGAGCTCAGTCTGGCACAGAGACTGTGCCTTTGCTCAGGGACCATGGCAGAGTGGGTAGGGGTCTCCAGCTTCATCAGGTCTATCAACAGCCTCCCATTCAACCACTTGTTCATTGGACATGTTTGCCTTAAACACAGTTGATCTCACTGATGGTTAGATTTGGCCAGAAGGATTGTCGAACGTCCCATACCCTCCACACTGAAACTTTATATCACACAACTCTACCATGACACTCCTCTACCTATTCAAAGTCAAGGTCAAATTCAAACTTCTAGCATGGCATCAAGGGGCCCATTTCTCACAGCTCCTGCCCAGCACCTATCTCCCCAGCTGTGCCAAACTGTCCCACAGTCCCTCCAAATGTCCCACGTGCTCTCGCATCTCTGAGTCTTTGTGTAAGCGTCTCCCTCCACATAGAAAACCCTTCTCCATCCATCCTCCATTTTTCCCTAGCTAGCTCCAACTGAGCCAGTGCAGCTACTTCCTCTGAGGCCTTTCCTTGTGCCCCAGTTGGGTGCAATTCCGTTCGCATTGCCCCTGGCAAATATGTCGATAGATCTTGCCTCACTGTGCTATGATCGTACGTTTCTATGTCTTCTCCATCATATCCAGAATAAAGGGTAGCAGGGAACTTTCCTTTTATTTCTGAACTCCCACCTAGCACAGTGCTTGGTTGGTGCTCAGAAAAGGTCTGATGAGTGAATGAATGAACGAAAGAATGAACAAAGAGGGAGCCGATGAGTCGATGAGTGAATGAATGAACGAAAAGGTCTGATGAGTGAATGAATGAACGAAAGAATGAACAAAGAGGGAGCCGATGAGTCGTCCATCTGTATTTTCTGACTTCCTCCCCTTGATAGCTTAGCTGGGCCCCCAGCTACTGAAAATCTTGCTGGGCTTGGGGGAAAGAAGGGCTTAGCATGGAGGAACACGCTGTATGGGTGGCGGAGGTGGATTCAGCTGTACCCCAACACCACTAGCCAGAATTTTGGGTCTTCTAATTTTGTATTATTCCTGCCTCTGATATCATCCATTAGTCAATAGAGAGAATTCCATTTCAACCCCAAAATTTGGCTTAAGAGGAACACAAAATAGGTGTGACCTTCAACATCAGGGCAGTGCACTGCCCTGTCCCTGTCCCTGGGTGCTCAGCCCCAGTTTCAACCCCAAAATTTGGCTTAAGAGGAACACAAAATAGTTGTGACCTTCAACATCAGGGCAGTGCACTGCCCTGTCCCTGTCCCTGGGTGCTCAGCCCCAGATGGCCCCAGATTTGGGATTCCTTGTACAGATGTCAAGTCCTCTGGAAGGCAGAGGGAATTCTCTCTGCTCCTGGTGTTTAATCTTTGGTGCTAACCCCAGGACAGGTGGCCGTCCACTGCTTCTCTGCAATGCTTTGTGAGCAGGACAGCCTCTCCGCACATGGCTGATACCAAGCAGCCTCTTTCTGAGACAAACATGCTTGAATCCTCCTGCCGTTCAGTTCTCAACCCACACAAAGCCCTGAGAGTAAATGCTTCTTACCCATAGTCACCTTTTTTCTGCCTAAACACAGTGGAATGTGCAGTCAGTCACCTAGATTCAGATCCAGCTCCATCACTTATCCGCTAAATGCCCTTGGCAAGTTACCTGAACTCCCTGAGCCCACATTCTTCATCTTTAAAAGGGAAAAAACTAAAATAAGCCCTTATAAGCCTCCATGAATAAAATTCTGCTCAGCAAGTACTTATCCCTAACTGGAGAAGTGGAGGTATTGATAACCCCAAACAACAAATGGTCCAAGAATCATGACTGTGCACACCTGCCTAATTCTTCTGGAAAGTATTGGTCAGGGGTAACAGCCTGGAGTTAAGCACTAGCTACTGACCATCCAGGGTGGGCTGTGTAGCCATTCCCGACCCTGGTTTGCAACAATAATGTGGAAGAATTTGGGGAATGGGGACTTGAGTTTGAAACTTTATCAAGAAGCCCTGGCCTGTGTTGTCTCCCAGGCATTGAAAGCCCCCACCTCCCCTCCTGCAGGCCAAATTGCTCTGTCCCAGGCCAGCAAGGAGACAGAAGGAGGATGAGATAAGGTATCCCAAAGTGTGGATTTCCCTTGAGAAAGAGCCTGATAAACAGCAAGGAACAATTAGAAAGTTGCCATCTTGATCTAAGAAACCAAATTATCTAAAGAATCACTTCCCACCCACAACCCATTAAAGGAGTGAAGATCTAAGGACTCAAACTCCCACTTTATCCTTGGCATTGAACTTGACTGAAAAGGAAGGAGTTACCTGATCCCAGATACTGAAGAAACCCCCTAATTTATTATAATTAACGAGGGAGTTGAGATTCTAACTACTCGTGTTTCCCCTCCCCCAGACTCAGTTCAAAACTCTCTGCCTCCGGGAAGCGGCTCCTGACCTGACCCATCTGGTCATAGATCCCTAATCCGGACTCTGTACCACATTCATTGTCACTGTCAGCATCTAAGTGGATCTCAAGGACATGTGTCTTCTCCTCCTTTCAGGAATCTCCAGTGCCCAGGACAGTGCTGTGCTCCAACAGAGCTGTGGGCCACCATGGTGGATCATGGGGCAGACAAAACAGAGACCGGACCAGAGGCCCCTGCATTCGTGACTCCGGGAAGGCGTGCAGCCTCACCTTGGTCTGGTACAGGGCCTCAGCCTCGGCCTTGCTCTTCAGGGCGATCTCCTCATACTGGGTGCGGACCTCGGCTATGATGCTGTCCAGATCCAGGTTCCTGTTGTTGTCCATGGACAGGATGACAGATGTGTCACTGATGTGGGACTGGATCTGAGCAATCTCCTGCAGGGAAAACAAGGAAGCACAAATGCCTTTTATGACCAGAGGAAGGTGCCAAGGTGATGGCCCCAGACTGTCACAAGCAGATGTGAACTGCATTCCCTGAAGCTTGTAAGAACAGAGCTCACCAGCACAGAGATAATAATACCACACCTAAAAACTGCTGAATGGGTTTGAAGCAGCCCGAGAAGAAAACAGCACATATATCTGACATCTGAGACACGACAAAAGTGGGAAAGGTAGAGGGAAACAGCCTAGCCACCACACAAGGAATACTAAGGACACAGGAGCCCACAGACGCTGGGCCAGTGGGCTAAGGATGAAGCCAGATGTTCATGGAGGAGGTAGAAAGTGTGTGAGGATTCCCCACATCCATTCTTGGGGATTCCCGCCCCAAACCCCAGGAAACATCCCAACCAGCAGAAAGAAGCCAGGCAGGAATGAGAAGATGCTTGGCTGAAGTTCAAAGGGAATGCCCCTAAGAACCCATGGCTCCCTGAAGAATGTGGCATCCAGAAGCCAGGTGGGAACTGATATGGAGCCAGGATAGATTGTCACCCCCAGCTTTGATCTACAAAGCTCCCAGCACCCAAATGCTGGAGGTCCCTGGGCTCTTAAATTTACTTATAAGTAAGTAACTGCTCATCACATCTGTCCTTCCAGAAGACAGAGCCAGAGGTAGGGCTGGAGGGAGCCTTACCCCCTCGTACAGGCACTTGAAGAACTTGATTTCTCCATCCAGGGCATCCACCTTGGCCTGAAGCTCCACCTTGCTCATGTAAGCTGCATCCACATCCTGGGGAGAACCCAGAGACCCCTGACATCACCTTTCTTCAAACCCAAGAAGGCCTCTCCTATGAACTGACACCCCAGAGCCCAACCCCGTGGCCAGCTGCCCTGGGGAATGAACTCAAGACCCAGGAGGCAAGAACCTGACTTCCAGCCAGGACACACCATAAGCCCTTGGGCTACTTCCTCGTGCCTCTGAAACTCCTTCTGCCTCTGCTTCTCAAGGAGAGGGTCTGAGAGCACTGTCCCCCACATGGCCGGTCATTCAGCAGTCAGAGTGAACTGAGGGCAGCCACGGTGATTTGCTGGAGACTGGCAGAGTAGGAAGATAAACCTGCAGCCCCCTCCCAAAGCACGTCTGTTCCCCAGCTAAAGTGGACATGAGCTGGGGATCGACTGTCTGGGCTCCTGTTCTTTTTTACCAAAAAATAGGGAGCTGACCAAGTGCTATGTGCTAGACAAACATGAAGGTGTCCCAAGGTGTTCTGAGCAGCCAACCCTCCATCTCCTTCCGCACTTGCACACCAGGCCCTTCTGCAGGGAGCAGACCTCAGTCTCCTCTCCACTCTTACCCCCACACCTCACCACTGGGGGACTGAGGGCCGTGCACCCTCCTCACCTTCTTAAGCACCACAAATTCATTCTCTGCAGTCGTGCGCTTGTTTATTTCCTCTTCATACCTGCAGGAAAAACACCACAGTGAGCAGGGAGTGTGTATCTGTGACTCTGTATGCATTTGCATGTTCTCATTGTGAAATGAGAAAAGAGATGCCCATAATACTTGTCTTTCAACAGATAGTATTACATTATTATCTTTGCAAGTCTGTCCCAACTTACTAGGACTATTTAGCCAGAGTTGTGGGCAGAGTTTGCAGTAAGCCTCTCCAGAGACTGGTGACTGGATGGTTTGGGATCTGGATTTCCTCTAATGTCTGAGGGGTGAGTGGGTTCTTTCTCCTCCCACCCAGCATTCAAATCACAGGAGCTGCCAGCTATCCCTTCCAGCCAGGAATTTTGTGTCGCCCTTGCTGCCTGACACCCCTTCCAACAATTCCACTTCATCCTGAGGCAGGAGTTCCAAGGAAGCCAGAACTCTGTCTCAGGATAAGAAAGAGCATGGCCCAAATATCCAGGACCTCAGGGACATGAGAGGGGAAGCCCAACTCCAGCTCCTGCCCTACTGGGGGTTTCCTTAGAACTCAGGGGCACACTGGGTGAGCTTAGGAACTGAGAGGCTGGATGCACAGGGAGCAGGAAGGAGCAGGCCAAGGAGGGGGCTGCCTGTTGGAAAAGCCCTAACTCTGCCTGAGAGGCTGGCTGTCCACTGTCCAGCCCACCTGGTTGCCCACAAAAGAAAGAAGCTCTGGTCTTGCCTGGGCAGATGAGCTCAGATGGGTCACCCTGCCCCAGCTCGGTCCCTCTGAGGACAGAGGCAAATGTCCCAGTGCCTGCTGGGAATGCACAGCTGCAGGAGAGGGGCAGCCTGTGTGCAGTGTCCCTGCTCACCTCTTCTTGTAGTCCTCTACCACGTCCTGCATGCTCCTCAGCTCTGAATCCAGCCTCACCCTGTCCCCAGATAGCGTCTCCAACTGCTTTCGCAGGTTGCTGATGTAGCCCTCGTAAATAGGCTCCAGGTTGTTCCTGCAATTGTTCAGGTCCAGCTGTTGCAGCAGGTTCCACTTTGTCTCCAGCACCTGGTTCTGCTGCTCCAGGAACCGCACCTGGAACCCACATCAACAGACACCTGGAACCCACTCCACAGACACTCAGGCAACAGCGAGAGAGGATGTGAGGTTTCCTTTCTCGATAGAAGCTGTGTTTTCTTGTGCTACATTAGCTTAAGCCCGTCTCCTCCACACCTATCTCAACCTGCCTGGACCAGTGTCTGTGTTCAGCCAGGTCTGCCTCTCCAAGGCAAGTCCTTAGACATGCAAGCTGGCCAGTGCTGGCCTACACAGTCCTGGGCCCCCTGCTTGGGGCCTGGTGGACTGGCCTGCAGTCTGCTTACTACCTGTCTCCTTGTTCATGGCCTCTCCCAGCCCAGCCAGAAGACAGGTGCTCAGCTGATCTAGGGTCTCCTGCCCTCCTATGTTGCTTTCATGTCTGAGTCTCTATTATCTCAATCAGAGCATTTCCCCAATCTATAAATAGATAATTCCTTTGCTTAAAACCCTCTGGTGTTTCCACATCACCTACAGGGTCAAGTCCAAATTCCTTATTGTGCTCTGCACAGTGTGCCCAGCACCTCCTTCCCTCCTCTACCATTCACCCAATACTCTTGCAAACTCAAACTCTCCCCATTTCCCAGACAAGTGCTATTTTGCTGCACGTGCTCTCTCTCTCCCCAGATCACCTTTTTCCCACCTCCATCTGGAAAACTACTCGTGCTTCCCCACGAAGTCCAAATTCCTTATTGTGCTCTGCACAGTGTGCCCAGCACCTCCTTCCCTCCTCCACCATTCACCCAATACTCTTGCAAACTCAAACTCTCCCCATTTCCCAGACAAGTGCTATTTTGCTGCACGTGCTCTCTCTCCCCAGATCACCTTTTTCCCACCTCCATCTGGAAAACTACTCGTGCTTCCCCACCCTACTCGCTGTCACCCCTGGTGAGCGTCCCCTGTTCCCCTAAGCTCAGGAAGTCTCTATTTCCCACGACCCTCCTACCACTTGAGCATGCATCAGCATCAGCTTGATAAAACACGTTTTGCTGGCCCCACTCAGGAGTTTCTGGTCCAGTCGATCTGGGGTGAGGCCTGAGAACACACACTTCTAATAAGTGTCCAGGTGCTGCTGCTGCTGGTTTGGGAAACATTTTTTAGACCACTGCTCTTGTGCACCATGATAGGTCTCTGCCTCGCCTTATAGGATGAGTATATATAGCCCGAGTCTGTCAAGTCGATCTGGGGTGAGGCCTGAGAACACACACTTCTAATAAGTGTCCAGGTGCTGCTGCTGCTGGTTTGGGAAACATTTTTTAGACCACTGCTCTCGTGCACCATGATAGGTCTCTGCCTCGCCTTATAGGATGAGTATATATAGCCCGAGTCTGTCATTTGACAGAGTCTGAGCTGATCCAGGTCCCATGAAAGGAGGAGCTGGGTCCCACGGCTTTCTGGACACTCCAGGCTGTCACAGGCCTCTCTTTGCCTATCACTCTCCTTCTTCTTAACCCAGAAGCCACTTTCTCTGCCTCCTGGACACTTTCACAGACTAAGTTCTCAAGCTGCTCTCCCCACTCTGACCCACATCCCTCAGCTCTGATGTCCAGGGCTTTGTCCAGTTCCTCCCTGCTCTGTCCTGAGCTGTGTCTGCATCCTAGGGAGGGGCTCTGTGCTCAGCTTTCTCTGGAAAGTCCCACCTTGTCAATGAAGGAAGCAAACTTGTTGTTCAGAGCCTTGATCTGCTCCCGCTCCTGGGCACGCACTTTCTGGATCTCGGGGTCCAGCTCCACATTGAGGGGGGCCAGGAGGCTCTTGTTGATGGTGACCTGATGGATGCCTCCCGGAAGGCACACGGATGGGCACATGGGCACCAGGGCCACACTGCCGAACATGCTGCCCGCAAAACCACTGGCCCGGCTCCGGCCAAACCTGTAGCCCCCTGCTCGCCCATTTCCACTGGCCGCATTAAAGGAGATGCTCCGGGCACCCCCCAAGTTGTACAGGCTCCGGCTGCTGAAGCCCCCACTGAGCCCTTTGCCACCTGCCCGGTAGGAGGATGAGCTGCCCACTGAGAGCACTGCTGAGCAGCCGCTAAAGCCCCCCTTGGCAGCAGTTCCCGACTTGCAGGTGAATTGGCGGCTCATACTGGAGAGGCCAGAGAGCTGGAATAAGAATCTAACCCTCAGCTGAGATGCAGTTCACCAGCCTGTGATCTTGGGCTCCACCTTTATAGGGTTCAGGAGGGAACCACTGCCCTAATTTGTGGGTTTAGTTTGCCCAGGAGCAAGAAGTCATTTTCTCCCAGCAAAATGAGAGACACTGGATAAAATAAGTTGAAAACCCCAAAGTGCTAGGCTTGCAAGACTTGCTCATGTAATCTGAGTCTTATGTAATTAACATGGGGTAATTAGCCTAGCCAAATTATCCCTAGAAAGATCTTGGCTGGAAGGTTTGTCACAGTCTCAATTACCCTCTCCAGGGACTAGTGGGGGCTGGGATTGTGGGGGTGCCAAGCAAGACCTTTAATTGATGGCGTCATCTATGAGAAATCTCACGACTGTGCCAACATCAGATGGGCTGCTTCAGGGACCCTGACTGAGCTGCTTTTATGTGGTTAGGAAGAGACTCCTGCAGCATAACTTCCCAGGGCTGCTAGAAGCAGTTCTCATGACTGGCCGAGATCATAACAGAAGAGGCTGCAAGGAATTCAGGCCCAGCCCTCGGCTGCCAGCCCCCTGCTGTGCCCTCTCAGGCAGTTCCCCTGCTCCTCAGTGCCAGCCAGGCTCCCCGCTCACCTTCACCTGCACACCCTGACCTCTTTGTTCCTGTACCATCCCACTGCCCCCCTCTTGACCTTGAAACCATGGTCATTGCCACCATCCACAATGGCTGACACTAGTGTAGCACTTTACAGTTGAAAGAGCTGATCACACACAGAAACTCATTCAATCATTTAGTCTACCTGGAGAGGAATGGTCATAATCCAAATTTCACAAATTTCAACAGGTAGTTGAGGACGTCATTCCTTTATCAAACATTTAATGAGCCCTTTCTTTGTGTGAATCCCACAGGATGCAAATGTCCCAAAAACACAGGCTCCAGGCTTGAGGATTCTTGGCTGGTCTCCCAGCTCTACATTAGGGCTGTGCAGGCCCTATTTATCTGTCCTTCAACCAGCCAACCAGCCATCTATTTGTTCATTCATTCATTTATTCATTTAACAAATTTCTATTGAGGACTGTGCTAGGCTCTGGGGTTCTGACTTAAGAACACAGAAACCTAGCTCACAATTCTAGGGGGACGTATGTACATTTGAATTTCATTAGACCGTTGATATTGCCAAAGTACATGACCCAAGAGTTTCACAATTCCCAAATGCCAAATATATCCATAGTATATAATTTCCCCAATAAAAATGCAATTATTTCACTAGCTGGAGTGTTTGAATGAGCAAAACACTCTCTATGTCCTATTTTTATACAGGGGTATGGTATGCCCCTCATACTGTTGTACCAAGCAATTGCCAAATTCACATTCCCTTCTTTTTTAATACAAAACAGCTATTTAGTAGGTAAGAACAATCGCTTTGTTAGAGGTCCTCAGTTTCACTAAGAGCAATGGCAATCTTTTCAGTCTTTTTTCACTAAACACAAAGGTTCTATTCCTTTGCAAGTTTCTTCATAAGACCTGATGAGTGCGGACAAACAAAACTGTGTTGTGGTGAGGATGCTTCGTGTTCCAGCCAAAATTGCTTCCTAATTGGCTCTTTTCAGCACACCAGCATCAGAGTGAAGGTGATTCACACCCAAGTCACAGCAAAACTAAAAACTGCTGCATGTCACAGGCCTTGAAATCACCCCCATGCGCCAGAAGCAGGTATCCCATTGTGAACACCAACTCTGTAGTATGGTGTGTAGGTGCTCTCTCTGCATGGCCTTCACCTCCCCTCTCCTACCCTGGCCTTCCCTCCTTCTGAACCTGCCACAGAAGCACCCCTGGACACCTCCTCTGGTCACTTGTCCCAATCCAACCATTCATCTCTGGCTAGCCTCCCACATGATGGTCCAGACAGCAGCATGTATTGCATCAATTGTCTCTTCTAATTTGGTGCCTCTATTTGTGTTCAGATTGTGTGTCAATCTTCCCTGACAGCCAAAAACTTTCCTGAGGATGAGACCCAGGTCTCATCCTCCCTCTGGTCCTTTGTACTCACTCCCCAGAATCAAGGGGGTGAAACGCTCTCAGGCTGTCATGGAGCCAGCAAAAAGACTCTTAGGTGCCCCTCAAAGTCATTCCCACTAAGAACAGGATCCCTAGCACCTGTCTTTAAAACTCCTCTAAGTGAGTTTTTAATTAGTTATCCTTTTATATTTCACATGTCTTTAAAACTCCTCTAAATGAGTTTTTAATTAGTTATCCCCTTACATTTCACATTCTTCTATTGCCCTCACCAGGGAAAACTCAATGCCAGAAGAATCCTTATCTAATCTTCACACAATTACCAAGTCAACTCCGCTTCTCACTTGCACAGGCCTCTAGGGCAAGAGTTTCTGATGATTTCAGCACAAAGGAGGCAGGAAATCAACCTCCTGTCACCTCCAGGGACATTTAAACCATGTTGCAAAAGAATATTTAGTACTTCCTCATCCAGGAATATGGGGTAGACATACTTTCTTTCACTAACGTAAGAAGACTCTGAAAGGTAGAGAGAAGGCAGTATACTGGGAAGGGACCCGGAACCCGATGAAAGACATGGTGGTGACTTCCCCAGTTTTTCTCTTTGTCTCCTATATGCCAGACTGGAGGTAGAAGAAGGCAACAACCTGGAAGAGCACATATTTTTTAAAAACCCTAATAAAAGCCTGATTTCTCTAGCCAAAGCATCAGGAAAAGGGAATCCTAGCAAGATAGAAAACTTATAGGCAATGACCACTCTACTTTATTCAAACACCACAGAAAAAACTGTGGCCTCATCTTCCCCAGCAGTTGGGGCTCTAAGGAGGGAGATGGGACTTTTATCCCCACCAGGCAGTAACAAGTCTCTGACCCACATGGTGTCAGTGAAGACCATGTGAGGAGCCTGGACTTCCACCCCCACCCAGTAGTAACAAGGTGGCACCCACACCCTTTTCCTGTTATGGCAATGTCAAAAGAAGGTGGCTAAAGCATAAGATTTCAATAAGATCCACAGTCTCATAACAATACCTAAAATGTCCAAGTTTTGATCAAAACTCACTTGTCATAGCAAAAACAAGGAAGATCTCAAATGGAATGAGAAAAAAGATAATCAATAGATGCCAACATCTAGATGACAAAGACATTAGAATTATCTAACAAAGATTTCAAAGAGTCATGGTAAATATACTGAAATGAACAATTAAGAATGTGTTAGACAGATGAAAAATTAGGTCCAAATAAAGACATAAATGATACTAAGAAGAACCAAGTGAAAGTTTTAGAACTAAGAAATACAGTTATCCCTTAGTATCCATGGAGCATTGATTCCAGGACCTCTTATGGATACCAAAAACCCCTCACATATAATGATACATGGAAGTTGAAAGTGAAAAGATGAATAAAGATACATCATGCAAATATTAATCAAAATAAAACATGAGTGGCTATATTAACATCAGATAAAGTAGACTTCAAAGCAAAGAAAATTACGAGACAGAGAGAGACATTATATAATGACAAAAGGGCCAATTCACTAAGAAGACATAGTGCTCCTAATGTGTACCCACCAAACAAAACAGTTGCAAAATATGTGAAGCAAAAACTGATTGAACCAAATAAAAAGACAAATTCACAATTATAGTTAGAGACTTCAGTATTCTTCCTTCCACAATTGATAGAACAACTAGAGAGAAAATCATCAAGGATATAAAAGAACTCAACAACACCATCAACCAACAGAATCTAATTGACATTTTTAGAAATCTCTACCCACCAAATACAGAATAAATATTTTCAACATATGTCAAGATAGGGCATATTCTGAGCTATAAAATAACAAATTGAAAAGAATTTTAATCATACAGAGTATGTTCTCTGACCACAAAGAATCAAACTGAAATTCAGTAAAAGATAACAGGATCTCTCCAAACACACAGAAACTAAGCAACATATTTCTAAATAATCTATTAGTCAAAGAGGAAGTCTCAAGGGAAAAATTTTAAAGACATTATTTCCAAATAAGTTCATATTCATAGGTACTGGGGGTTAGGAATTTAACCTATCTTTTTTGGAGGACACAGTTCAACCCATTACAGACACAAAAAGCACACACAACAACAACAAAAATAGATAAATTGAATCTCAACTAGTCTTAAAATAGGGTCAAAAATAATCCAGTGGAGAAAAGGTAGCCTTTTTAACAAATGCTGTTGGAACAATTGCTTGTCCATAGGCAAAACAAAAACAAACAAAAACCTTGATCTGTCTCACACTTTATACAAAAATTAACTCAGATCACAGACTTAAATGTGAAACTATAAAACTTTAGAAAAACAATAGAAAATCTTCATTATCTACATTAGATAAAGAGCTCTTAGACATGACACTAAAAGCATAATCCATAAAAAGAAAAATCAATAGCTTGGTGATCATCAAAATTAAAAGCTTTGCTCTGTAAAAGGCCTTGTTAAAGAGAATGAAAAGACAAGCTACAGACCTGGAGAAATTATTTCCAAACCACATATCCAACAAAAGACTAGTATCTAGAATATAAAATGAGTTCTCAAAACTCAATAAAAGAACAACCAATTCCATTAGAAAAGGGGCAAAAGACATTAAGAGACATTTCACTGAACAAGACATACAAATGGCAAATAAGCACACGAAATGATATTCAACATTAGGGAAATACAAATTTATTTATTTATTTATTTATTTGGTGAAAAGTTAGCATTTATTAAATGTGGGTGGTGGATGTGTTTGTGACATCTTTCTCTCTGCATTTCTGTATGTTTGAAATATTTTTTAAAGATATTTATTATACATAGATGTGGGATACAATGTTGATCTTCAATAATTGTGTACAATATATGATGGTTAGATCAGGATAGTTAGCTTATTCATCATTATAATACACAATCATTCTCTGTGTCCTTTAACCAATTCCTCATTAGCCCCCCTCCCTTTC